TCTACAACACATTTTCGTCGCTAAAAATCAAAGTTGGGATAGCTAAAAATGCACAAAAATTAAATGGCATCCAATCATAAAATAAATAAAAAAAGAAAAAATTTGACATCCACAAATCAAAGACACTCTATTACCAAATCATAATGAGTACATAGCTCTGAGTATATTCAAAGTTTTCAAATTCAAAATTTCCAAAAATTGACATATCAAGTAAACGGTGGTGGAAAATGGTGGCGAGTGGTGGCTAGTGTTGGGTGGTAAAAAAAAAAAAACCTTAAAACTCAAAACGGAAACACATTTTTTGTGTTTTCATTTTTTGGCTAAATTTATAAACTGAGACCACTGATTTATAAATCAAAAATTTTACCAAACAAGTTTTTATTTGAGTTTTTAAAATTTTTATAAATATAAATAGAAAACTGAAAACGTAAGTGTTACCAAACAGCACCTGATTGTTTTCTGTGATTTAAAAAATTACTAATATCTCATTATCAAAATTTTTTATTTAATAGAATCAACTGAAAAAATAAAAATTTTAATTGCTTTCCAATGCAATAATATAAATATCTGAATTTTACTTAAAATGTGTATTTCTGATATTATAAAAGTTGTTAATAAAGTGAGGCATTTTTTATGAAATAAAAAAATTCAAAAGACAGAATATAATTTCTAAAACTATAAGAGCAATTCGTATTTTAAATAAATTTTTGAGATATATTCGTAAAAAATACAAAATAAAAAAAAAAAGAGAAAATGGTATTTACTATTTAGTACATATGGGCCTATTATGGGTTTTGGCATGAGTCGGGCTTTGAAAAGCTCAAAGGGCTACGTTCAAAGCCGAGTCCATGAGCCTACCCAGTTTTTCGCTTTTTCTCTCCGTAAATCAAACATACACAATTGCTTTTGGTTTGGCTTGAGGTTTGCTTATTTTTTGACTTTTTTTTTTTTCATCTTTTAGTGAATTTTTTCTTAAAATTTTTCAAAAATATTTCAATTTTTAAATCCAATTCAATAAGATGAATTAAAAAATTTCCAAAAAAGACAAAAATAAGTAAAATAAGCAATCTTTTATTTTATTTTATTTTGGCTTTTTAATTTTGTTTTTTTGAATTTTTTCAAAAGAGAAACTCCATCCGTCCCAAAAATATTAGTCCATTTTCAAAAATCAATAACTAAAATAATATGAATTTTATATTTGCTCTTCTTTTAAGTTCATTAAAAATACAAAAAGTACAATTATAACAATTGATATTCTCAAAAAATATATATTATCAAATGGTAATTTTGAAAATTTAATATTTTTAAAGTATAATAATTGTACTACCAAAAAAATTAGATTCGCCAAAAGAGATTATTATTTTGGAACGGATGGAGTATACCTTTTAGATTTGTCTCGATAAGACGGACTGAAAAAGTAAAAAAATTTAATATAATTTTGAAAAAAAAAAATCAAAAAAAGAGTTTTTAGTTGTATTTTGAAAGATAAGTTGTTGAAAAGAGTTTTGAAAATTGAAAATTGCAACCCCGCCACTCACCGCCTTCATTTGCAACCCTGTATAGATTCATGGTAGAAAGGTTTATGGAAGGCTTGAAGATTAGGATATAGACTATTGCCAAATAGGTGGTTGGCATTGTGCATGGGGAAGGGTTAGAATTTTCTTAGTTTGGAAGGTGATCAATTGCATCAATTATAGAAAGGTGTTTGTTAAATTCTTCACAACAGTTAAGCTTGGGTTTAATATTCTTAAATTGCTTGCCAAAGCACAAACGAGTAAGTGTCATGAAATTAGAGTTTTGGAATTAAAAACTTAAAAATTAACATCCTGTCACAAAGATTTTCAAAAAAGGGTATAAGAATAATCTACCAAAATTTGTTAGAAATCCCTCCTAAGATTAGGTTGTATGACACGTGGGGCCATCAAATCTTCAAAACATGGCTCAATTGTTGAAACATTGCATGAATATTTATGGGTTGCTATCCGTCCTCTCTTTTAGGTGATTATAAAATAGAAGACTTAAAAAAACTTTAATCAGATCATGCTAGGCCTACTATGGACCATACATGAGGGCCTAAGAAAATATTCAAGCTCAAAATATTTCCTTGTACCACAACTAGTTCTAACATGATAATATCTAGAAAATTTAAATTGTTAAGATTCCCTTGACTTAAAAAAAATAATGAAAATACAAACAAAATTCACAATATCAAACAAAATCTTAATCTAAGCTTGATTAAACAAAGTCCCAAGCGCACTCCGTATGCAAGTTACGATTTTATGCTTTTCAGTAATGATTTTTTTTCTTTTTTTTTTTTTCTCTGTCAAGATCATGATTAATATGTGTATATATATGCATTCATATTTTCAATTTGGTTTTATCACGTAACAAGGGGTTATTGATTCAGATGTTAAAACTCAGGCCATCAACCTTGTGGTTGTAAGTTCAATCTCACCCTCCCAGACCCATCCAATGGGAACTAATTGAGCATACTTTTTATGATTTTGTGGGGTTTCAAGGGGGAAAAAAAAAACCCCAAAATAATGATCAAGGATTTTTTATACATAAACATTGGAGACCTGTGATATCTTTCTATATGTTTATTTTAAAGTGGCTACAAAGCAACATTTTAATGATTTTCTTAATTTAAATAATTTTCATGAATTGCCCAAAATAGCCATTCTGTGAAGGTATAGTGAGTGTCACATATTTGCATGATACTTATCACGTGTACTGTATTTTGTGCTGATTGTATTAATCAAAACTTACTACATTAATTTGAGATATGATTTTAGGCCTGTTTGGTGCAGTTTAAAAGTTGCTTATTTCAACTTTTAACTTAATTTAAGTTACAATTGTGTGTTTGGTAGAACTTAAAATCACTTTTTGTACTAGCTTAAATTAAGCCAAAAAAGTGATTTTTTTTTGGCTGAGTGCCTTCCGGGGTGCTTATTCATTCAGCTTAAGCGGGAAGCTAAAACTTGAGGAGCAAAATTACTTAAATGCCCTATATATGCCGAGGCTTTTACTTGTTTTTATCAGAATAAAACCTTTTACTTGATTCAACGGCACATGCTTTGCAGGCAGAGGCAATATGATGACAAGTGGGAACATCACCTTTACAAGGATGATGAGCCTCAAGTTTCAAGTACGGTTTCTTGTGACATGATTGAATTCAACTAGAACTAGTGATTGCTGCTTTAGTTGCTTGAAACATATTTAAATATGTATGTGTATACTTGTATACAAATTGTCGCTTCTAAACATCGCTATTGTATCATTTTGATTGTATGTTAAGATCACAGAATTGGCAGTAAAGATCTTCGTCTGAAGCTCCAGAATAAGAGTGTCCAGCAAGAAAGTTAAGTGGAAATGGGTCTGTTTCAGGCGCAAGGGATCTGCGTGAAAAGCTCTCTGGCACGATGTACTCACAGCCTGTGAACACTGATCCTCCAAAGCCAGTACTTAAGGATAATAAACCTGTGAGGAAAAGTGTAATTGTTGAAGCCCCTGAACCACAGACCAAAAATGTTGCTAGTTCAGTCCATAGGAAAAAGACTCAGCAAAAGACACGGACCCTCCCTGTTTTATTTCTTTCCCTGCATTTTATTACGACTGTTATGAAGTATAAAATTCAATATATTCTGAGATGTGTGGTTATGATAGATCCAGATCGAAACTGTTGTACGCACACAGACACAGTTTATATTGAAAATAATATTTTTGTCATAACTACTACTACTCACACAGACATGTCATATAATTGGCACCATCATGTATTTTTTTCTTACAAATTTTCTCGTGTTCAGGTGGTGAGTGTGACCTGGTTAACATCTTTGTATAGAAATGTGTACTTTTTCTGAGTATGAATTGCAGTTTTGCAGGCTTTAGGAATACCAATGGTAAACTTGACTAAACTCACCCTAGTGTACAGAGAGATCCTGTTTTGCTATAATATCTGTAATCATTTTTATCGCCTTTGCTGATCAATGATAGTGGAATTCCCTTCTTGATATAGAATTTGCTGTTTTGATACATGTCTCAGACACTTGCAATTTTTATTTATCTATTCATACAGAGATAATTTGTTTAATGAAGTAACACGATTTTAATTAAACCTCTCCTCACTTTAGTTCCCGCCTAAAAGCAAACCACGTACCATGGCAAGAATCTAGCCTGCCTTGGGAGTGAAGCAAAAAACTTGATAAGACCAAAGTAATTCATGAACCATCTCCTAATAACCCTTGGTTTACCTAAAGAGGAGCAATTTCCATTGCACCAAGGATCCTCTAGAGTGAAATTTTTCTAAAGTTTCCTAGAGTGCTACATTGTGTGGTTGAGATTTACTGACAAGTCACATCAGAAAAATTGATGTGACTTGTCAGTAAATCTCAACCATACAATGTAGCACTCTAGGAAACTTTAGGAAAAAATCACTCTAGAAGATCCTTGCCCTTTCCGTTGGGCTCAAAAGAATGAGGAAGCAGATTACTGAGTTTCCAATCTTGCTTGATCTAATTAAGAGATACCCTAGAGAACTGGAGGCAAAATGAAGCCTAATAATAAAATAACAAAATAAAACAACTGCGGACTTTGTGAAGGAGGTTCTACATATTTAAGTAGTTCCTCACTACCTCATCCTAAATTATCCGAAGGACTACATGGATCACACGTCGTTTGGTATGTGGAAATAGAAGCTCTCAATAACCATCCCTTATGGTAATTATAGCTACACTAATCTCTTGCACCATGTGATTGGAGTCTGATTAGATGAAGAGTTGCGAGTGTGTTGTTTTTGTTGAAACCGTGTAACTCTTCTTCTTTCTTTCTATTTTTTTTATTATTTATTTATATTTTTGTTTTTGTGGATCAATGCAAAAACCATCTTTTTATTATTTTTATTTAATGTCAAAAAGCACACTGCTTTTTCTTGTGTCTCACTAGTTCTACATTGCCCCTCCCAAATTTGATTGTAAGCTTTTTTGGTTCATTGTGGTTCTTTCAGGGTCCAAGAAAGAAGACACTTTTGGCATTGGAATTCAAAGTCTGACATTTGGAGTGGACCAGGTTCTTTTGCATGTTTTCTTGGATCCTAATGTTATGGTCCGATAACGTTCTCGCAAGTCCCCGGCCTTGCTTTAACCGGTACAACTCTGCATGTAACTTTCTGGGATTAATTCTTCAGTTGTATTGGTGAAAATGGCTTCAGTGAGCTTATTGTTGGTATCAAATGAATATGGAAGATTCGTAGCTTGGGAAAGATTTAAAAACTTGAATTTGTTGAATTATGTTGATGCTTTATTATACCAGGATTTTCTCTTCCATAGGTGGGAGAGTGAGGGAGAGAGAATGTACAAGCAAAACTGTTATGAATGTACGTCACATTCTTAGGTATTGATTTAGATATCTATTTTTTTTCTCCCTTAAAAACTAACAATTTCTCAGATGAAATACCTTTCTCAACTCAGCTTGTACTATTTGAAATGTATTGACCCGACCATGGAAGCCATCCATGTATTTCAGAGTTTTTAAAAATAATTGCAAAATGTGGGAATGAAAAATTAATATACATGGAAATTAAGAAACATGATGTCAATTATTGTGTTGCCCTCAACCCCTCTCCCTCTTCCTTTCCTCTTCCCTTCCCTCCTTTTCTCAACCTCTGCAAAGCCCAACCCAGTGTGATCTACCCCTTCAAGGCCAGCAACCCATCCCCATACTTCTCCACCATTGTCTCCCCCTCCCTTCTCTTTTGCCATCACCATCCGTGGCTACTGCCATCGCTGCTCACCTTCTCTGCTTCCATTGCTGGATCTGGTTTAGATCTAGTTTGATGCTGTGTACCACCAGCTCCTCTTTCGGCCACCACCATAACTAAAGTGAAAAAAAAAAACAAATTGAAATGAACAGAGAAGAGGACGATGAAAACCAAACTGAATAAACAGAGTTGGAAAGGGTGGATGTTTTGAGTGTGGATTGTCATAATGTTTTTGTAATTATGTTTTTAAATTTCCATGTACATTGCAATAATTTTTTATTCCTTTACTGCAATTGTTATACATTCCTTCCATTTTTCTGCAATTTTCCCATTAATTAACATGGTAAGCAATTATTGATATATCACTCCATTACTAACTCATATTTTGGAGTTAAAAGTTTAATCAATTAAAGAGTTAAAAAACCAACGTTTCATTCATTTCTAACTCATTTCAGATTTTTATTTGTGAAAACCAACATTTAACTTCATTTATAGTTCGCAAACTGCCATACATTAAAAAAACTGATCAGAAACACAACGCTACACACACACACACATATATTGCCATCAATCCGTGTAGAGAGCTCCAAGAAATTAGAGTTACCACTTTTTCATCATCAAGTTCCTGAATTGAACAAACATTGTAACCAAACACAATGGAGAATCTGAAGATAGTCGAGAAAATTGTCATATTCCCGGGGAAGCCCACAGAACGCAGACGCATCTTCTTGTCAAACATAGACCTCAGCCTCATCGGCTACCAAGAATCAGTTTCTTTCTTTGACCCTCCAAAAATCAGTTTTGCCGAAGCCTGTGAAAAGTTGTACAGAGCACTCGAGCGGTTGTTTGTGCACTATGATTTCTTTGCTGGACGCCTAGTGCCTTCATTGGAAGACAGTCAGAGGTTAGAGATCAACTGCAATGGTGCAGGTGTTGTGGTTGTTGCAGCAGCAACAGAGACGAAGTTGAGCCAGCTTGGAGAGCTTATGGCACCGAAGCCAGAGTTTAGGCAATTTGTGGAGTTCTTGCGTAAAGAGAATGAAGAGGAAATAGAGATACAGGACATGCCTCTTTTGTTCATCCAGGTATTTTCAGAGTGTTCCCTTTACACATTCCAAGTGTTGGCATCAAAAACTCTTTGACAAACACAGAAACTGATGAATTAGAGGCTTTGTTTTTGAAAAATTATTCACAAATTGTGGTCTGTGTTTGAAATTACAGTTGACCCAGTTGGGCTGTGGAGGCTTGGCATTCGCTTCACGGTACAACCACTGTGTCCTCGACGGAGTGGCAGTACGTGAGTTCCTAGCAAACATGGCTGCTCTAACACGGTCCGAACAAATGGTGATCATCCCAAACCCAGATCGAACGCTCTTCAAAGCACGAAACCCCCCTATAATCATTCATCCTCACTATGAGTACTCGAAACCAATCATCGACACACACAGCTTCAATTTCAACCCCACACTCCACCAATCTTCACTCCCCAACCAAACCCACCTCATCTACTTATCCCCTTCCCGCATCGCCACCATAAAAAAGGCCTCCCTGAGAAATTGCACCACCTTCCAGGCCGTGGCAGCAAAGATATGGAAGGCGAGGACCCTGGCGGTGGAGACAAAAGACATCGATAAAATTTCGACAATGTTGTTTCCGGTGGATGCTAGGAAAAAGATTGTGCCACACGTACCCATTGGGTTTGCCGGGAATGCTCTGATTCCTGGGTTCGCACGAGCGAGCGTGAGGGAGATGAGGGAGGAAGAGGACCATGTTTTTGTGAAGAAGGTGCAGGAAGGGTTGGAGAGGTTGGATGATGAATATGTGAGGTCTAGTGTAGATTGGTTAGAGGTGAATAAGGGTGTGCCTTGTAGGGAAGATAGCTTTTCATTGGTGGCTTGGTGGAGATTAGGGTTAGAGGAAGATGAGTTTGTTTGGGGCAAGATCAAGTGTACTACTCCAGTGTTGGTTAAACCTGGTTTGGTGTATCTATTACCAGGGACAAGAGATGAGGGAGGGCTTAGCATTTGCCTGGAACTTCCTAATGATCAGATTAAGGAGTTTCACAGGTTAATGATGGAGGATTAATGAAGTCTCAAACAGGATTTAGTTATCCTCATGTGGAATCAACTAACCTTTGCCTTCCACAATTTTCATATTTGTTATTTATGAATTGGATGATTTATCTCCATTAATTGCCATTGTATTAATTTCTTAACATTTTATTTATAAGGAAAACCAGCCAATATAATTCAGTTCTAAAGTTCTCTCGAACTAAATTTTTCTAAAATTTTGACTTTCCACTACTAGCACGGAATCTTCTATCTTCCAAAATCTTTTTTTCTCCCTGTCTCTATGAACTTTCACGAGCATGATCATGTCTCGAAATTTCTATGATATGTGTGTTCAGAGTACATTGAGGACAGAAGACCCAAATTTTGATTACAAAAGATCTGTGACCAACAAAAACCTAATTCCATAAAATTACCTCTCAATCAGTAGCTTTTCTTGTATTGTTGATCCTAAAAATACCTCACTTTCTGAAACTAATTCTCTAAAATAAAAAAAAAAACACCCAATTAATACACATTAATGCGTGATTGGGGGGAAAAAGATTGAGTGGTGTTGGACATGTCTTGGGTTTGAAGTGCCACATACAAAATTTTACATGACATTCTCATGTAGATCAACAAAAATGAAACCGTTTAGAAAATAAATATATATGAAAATTTCACCATATTTTTAGCTTTCCTCAATTAACAAAATTCAATATTTTAACAATCATTTTTTCCCATGTCTTTTCAAGACTGTTTACTTCTGTACACAAGAAATAAAGTGACAATTGAAATCAAGGACTAATTCCAACCTCAGCCCTTGAGACACATTTTCATTGTCAGAAATTTGGACAATTGGCATAATATTATTGCATACATACAAAACAGGAAGAAAATAAAGTCAGCTTTGGTAAAACAACTCTTTTGCTCAAATGATATTGCAGCATAACTAGTTCTTGTATGAGAAACTCAGCAATGTCAATGTGGGTAATCAATCAGTAATTCAGAAATTATACAAAAAATGGGATACAAGCCAGTGAAAGAGTCTACAAAAAGAAAATCTTCTATCCCTTTTTTTATTTTATTTCTCTTCAAAAAAGAATTAACGACAAATATATTTTTTAAAATAAACAATTTATTTTTTGGAGATTTATAATAAAATGAAAAATCGACCTAATTTTTTTTTTTTATGAATGATATATACAGAGGGACTTACAAAATAAATTGTTTAATTCATCGAAATCAGACCATATTAAATTGAAATTACAATTAAAAGTGTAAAAACCAAATTATTAAAATTAAAATAAGGACCAAAGATCAACCACTGACGAAAGTACAATTTCATACTACCATGTATCTATCTCCTCCATTTTCATCTTCTCTTCATTCCATTTATTCAAAAGACAGAGCATACTGTTTTCCTTAATCTTCCTTGTAACTAATTTCTTTGCTCATTATTTCATTACTTCTTTTGCTGCTGCTCCTGCTGTTGTTTCTTGAGCCCTCTCTTTCGCATTCCAAGGAAATACCGAAGAAGACAGTAATCCTGTACAACATCTGGGAGTGCTCGGATTAGGCAACACTGCAGAGAATGTGGCCAGTATGGTATAGAAATCTGCTCGTAACCGATTGCTCGTAAACTTGCTTTGCTATATGTCTCTGGGGATGGAATGAAGAAAGAAGTCCTTTTAATGGATGTCATCTTTGTCGCCACGAGTAACGGGATCTGAAGGGACACAAAATCATACGATGACGCTCTACGAGCTTGAACCAGTCAAAACAGGTTATGTATATACGTACAATAACTTACTTCAAAATTTACAATTCAAATGAATAGAGCGTTGTAATTTAATTTATTAATCTACATCCTATCATTTGTCAGGAAAAAAAAAAAAAAAGAAAAAACCTTGGTGACCCTACCTTGGTAGCGCGCTCAAGAGAGAGATTAGATCTGGTATAGGGTAAAAAGAAGAAAAAGTTGTTTGGCCTACCAAAGTCGCACCAATGGTCACCGTACAGTTTTTTAGTGATTTCTTAATTAATTTTTTTAAACAAAAAAATTAAAAAAATTATACATTTTTATTATACAAATTAATAGCTGGACCGACTTGATAAATATCCACATGCCCTTCATTTAATGAGCTTAAAAATTCAATCTAATCTATCAAATTGATTAAAATATAAATTTTTAGTTCTTAAAAAGGCAATTGGGCCTCTTCCCACGCCTCCCCTTAGAGGTTGACAAACCACATTGCCTATCATCAATACGCAAAACTAATTACAGAGCCTCCGTTTGGGAAGTGAGTTGATTTTTTGGCTTTTTAGTTTTTTGGCTATTTTAGCTTGATTTGGGAAGGATTTTTTAGCTTTTTGGTTTTTTTGACTTTTTTTGTGAGAGAGGATTGTAATGATTATGGGTTGAATTTGATGTTTTGTTTTTTGTGACTAAAATAGCCTATTTTGTTTTTTGTGACTATTTTAGCCCCAAACCAAGTTCCCAAACAAAGGCAGAGTCAATCACATAAAACATAAATGAGTCTTCGTTTGGAAAGTGGATTGACTTTTTAATTTTTTAATTTTTTTGACTATTTTAGTCTAGACTAAAATGTTTGATTTGAGAATGATTTTTTGGCTTTTTTAATTTTTTTTATGAGAGAAGAATGTAATAATTATGGGTTGGATATAATGTTTTGTTTGTTGTAGCTAAAATAGCTTATTTTGTCTTTTGTAACTAAAATAACTACAAACCAACTTGCCAAACAGACCTTGAAACAATTTGATTGAAATTGTATCTTTTATGGCCATGCTCCACCATCTAACATATATGGTCAAAATTATTTTATATAATTAATTATGTGATTAAAACTGTATTTATAGACTTAATTACTACCATGGAAGAACAACAAACCTGGCACTGAACATCAATTCCATGTTGCTTGTATTCCAAACTGATGCATCTTGAAAACAGCTCAATGTACCTATAACAAATTAAGGAGGATTATGATTTCACAACTTCTCTATGAAGGATAGATATATGGATATAACTACAAAATCTTAAAAAATATAATACAGAAATAGGTTGGAAGAAGAAATCATAATCTTGAAATGGTCAATTACTTTTGTCTTCTTTGGTCTTATAAAATTTCATTTCAACCTTAAGTTAAAATTATTTATATTGCCTTATTCTTTCCTTCTTTTTTTTTTCTCCTTTCACACTTATATGTGTTATATTCAAAAAAAAAAAATGTATGCAATATTAATTATTTATTTAATTGTTGAAATTTGATTTTAGCCGTTAGTATTGTTATTTATCCTTACTTTCTACAAAGTATTGATATAGATGTAGCATGTTGGACTCATACATGACACATTATGGATACATTAATTCGATAAATCCTACTATAGTTTAAGAGCGTTTGAAAAGTATTTGATACTTCTCAAAATTAATATTAAACTAGCGACTAATCCGTGTGATGCACAACACAAAATATTTTTTCATAACTTTTAGTTGAATTATTTATATGTATACTTATTTTAAAAAATACATTGCAACATATATGCAATATAAAAGAATAAATATTAGTCATATGTTGGAACAATCTTCTGTGTAAATAAAATAACTTGAAATAATTCAAACAAAATAAATAAATAACATACCGAATTTATTTCGTTGAACCGAATAAATAATTTAAGACCAAGTCGAGTGTGTGATACTCTGTCTTTAAGATAGATTCGTCCCGCTAAGGTGCTTACGGTTGAGTGGCGTCTATCTCCCAGGATACAATGATCTTCACAAATTTATAGAAGCACTTCAAATAAATTTGTTCGGCGAATCAAACCTATATTCTAACTTTCTGAAATATTTATTCTTAAAACTAAATATGAGGAAAAATGCACTAAAAGAAATGGACAGCAAAGAGACCAAATTTCAGACTGAATTTTCCGAATAGGAATTGGATTATAAAGACTCAATTTCCCGGATCAAGAAAAAACTCCCCCAAAGACTGCCGGAATGATGGACATATATAGGCAAGATAAATCTGACCCGAACAGGCGTATTTCCAATAGTGAACAGGTACCAAACATTTCAGAAATTGAATTCAAACTGTTTGCTGACCGTTACACATGGAACACAAATATTCAAACATGTCAAAAGTGATCCGTAAGTCAAACAAAGCAACTGCTTGCAACTTTATTTAATAACTATTTAGAATAGTTCAATTAAATAAAGTCAAAAATTGAATAGATTTATTAAAACTTTGAATAGGATATAAATATAAATCTATTTGACAAACTTTAGGAAACCACTATTTGAATTTAAAATTAAATTAAATTCTCAAAATTACAAACTTTAGGAAACCACTTAGGAACCAAAAATTTGAATTTTAGAATTAAATTAAATTCCCACAATAATTTTTTATTGAAAAAATACAAATGAATTTTATCTAAAAAAACTAATGTTAGACCCGAAAACGACGTCAACTTTCCATTCACTCATAAATGGTTTTGACGTTCCGTCTTCACCGTGTGACTTGCCACGCAGCAAGGAACACGTCACCTCTTCGGACCCACCCCAAAAAACGTTTGGAGTCCACTCAAATTGAATTAAAAAATATGCCTATATTAAACCATTTTTCCAACATCATATTGTGTTATAAAGTGTAATTTAAAAAGGAAGTTAATTTGGGACTATTATAATTGCAGCTAGGACAGTAAAACAAATATTATATATATTTAAAGTACAAAGGAAAATGATGGAACAATTGGTTTTCAAATAGGACAAAATAGTTTATGTAATATGTACACGGTTGAGCTATACTCTTTCATTTATTGATTTTTCGACATGAATATCAATGAATAGAAAAAAGAAAAATGCTTGGGAGCACTAATTAGTGCTCCCATTAATTAGGTGGCAGTAGATCCCGCCATTATGATGTGATGTTTTAGTCTTGGAGTTGTATTTTTTTTTTTTTTACTTTTTTAATGCATTAGTGTTATTAGTGGTGATATTTTTAGTGGGATGAATCATTATTGTAGAAAAATATACGCGTTGATTAGTGACAAATAAGAGTATCAAGTCTTTTTCAAAATATTCAAAAAAATAAAATAGTAAAGTATAATAATATAAGGGTAAATTACTCTTTCCACCCCCCAAAACTTTCATTCAATCTCTCATCTTCTAATTGCAATAATGAACTTCTCAAATTTTAATTTATATTTCAATGTGATCCTTTCATCACTTAATGTTAAAATTTTGAATAAAAAATACTCATGACCATATGAGCAAATTTTAAGAGTATTAAGGAGGAGGAGAAATTACATAGCAAATATGTTTCATCTTTTAATTTTTATTCAAATTTAATTTGGTCTCTTGTATTTTAACTTTTACTTAAAGTTCAAATAGCGGGTAATAAAAAGATCGTATTGAAATCTAAAATCCAAATTATTGCAAATACAGAATTAGAAATTAAAATGAAATTTAAGTAAAAATTTGAAGGTAAAAAAAAATAATGATTTTTTCCTTTTTTTTTTTGTTTTTTTTTGTGATCAAGATTGTAGAATATTAGTTAATATGTTAGTAAAATTATAATACAATTAAAGGGGTCGCTTGATTAGCTTGAACTCCTAATCTTCTTCTTATCACATCGTAAAGTGTGATTGCAAGACGGCTGAATCAAAAGGTGTAATGATTAATATGGTGAAAAGTAATGAAAGAGAAATATAAAAATTGATGTTCATTGAAAGTGCAACAATGATTCATCCCACTAAAAACATCACCACTAATAGCACTAATGCATTAAAAAAATAAAAAAAAATAAAAAAAATACAACTTCAAGACCAAAACATCACATCATTAATGACGGGACCCACTGCCACCTAATTAGTGGGAGCACTAATTAGTGCTCCCAAGCATTTTTCTTGAAAGTGTTCCACCCGCCTATTTAAAACTAGGAAAATATTTGAACGGCATAATTTTTGTGATTATAATGGTTTAAAATTATTAAAATGATATCATTTTGACATATTTTGTACTCAAAACGATGTTATTTTGACAGTTTTAAGCCATTATAATCTTAAAAATTGTGACCCTCTAACATTATTGTTAAAACTATATGCAACTGAATTGTTATACAATTCTGGCCACCAGGTACTCGCTCTCCATCAGCCCGTATTTTCATATCAAATTCAAAGTCTTGTCTATTTAGAAGCAAAACCATAAGGTTGAACAGTCATCATACATCCCTCTAAAAAGGGAGTACTGAACCAGCTGAGTTAAAAATTTGAAAAAAAGTAAGAAAAGAAAAGGTAGACACAACTATACATCATGAGGGGCAGCTCATTAGAGTTTCCCTAGAACTCCATATTTAGAGTTCTCAAGCATTTTGAAGTTTGAAATTTTCAACATTATATTCATGACAAGTTATTATCTAATAATTTCTATTTTTATAATAAGGAGGTATATAATTTATTTATTTAAAATGTACTTATAGTAATGTTTTGGAAAGTTAGTAAAAAGTTGACTTTATAATTTTTTGTAATTTTTTTTTAAATTTTTTATGTTAAAAAAGTAAAGAAGTAATGTGACTCAAAAAATTCAAAAAGTTAACTTTTTACTGCCCATAAAAGCATATAAGCTCAATTTAAGCAGTTTCAAATATTTAGCCTCCGTTTGGGAAGTGAGTTGACTTTTTGGCTTTTTGACTTTTTTGGCTATTTTAGTCTGGGGCTAAAAAGCCTGGTTTGGAAAGGACTTTTTGGCTTTTTGGTGAGGTGTCTTCCTATTAAATTACCAATATGCCCTTTTTGGCTTTATTTTTTTATTTTGGGTTTGGATTTGGCAAATTTTGCTTAAATGTTTTTTATTTATTTATTTATTTTTTATTTTCGGTTTGGATTTGGCGCATTTTGCTTAATTTTTTTTTATTTTTTTATTTTGGGTTTGGATTTGACGTATTTTGCTTACATTTTTTTTTATTTTTTTATTTTGGGTTTAGATTTGGCGTATTTTGCTAATAAATTTTGTTTATTTTTATTTTTTTATTTTGGGTTTGGATTTGGCGTGTTTTGCTTAATTTTTTTTTTTAAGTTTTTTATTTTCGGTTTGGATTTGGCGTATTTTGTTTAAATTTTTTTTATTTTTTTTATTTTGGGTTTGGATTTAACGTATTTTGTGTACATTTTTTTTTTGGGTTTGAATTTGGCATATTTTGCTTAAATTTTTTTTTTAAATTTATGTTTTTGTCTTTTTTTTTTATACATTAATTAGTTCTTGTTCTTTAATTTACATTTTTTGCCTTCTTTATTTTTATTGGTATACAATTTATTTTTTATTTATTTATTTATAAATTACGTGACGAATGGTAATTTATGTTTTCATATTTTTTTTTTAAATATTTTTGAATGAGGCGTATTTTTTGTCGTTATTTTTTTTTAAATTTACGATTTTTTTATTTTTTTATTCACTCACATTAATTTATGTTTTTTTTTTATTGGTATACAATAACTTTTTTTTTTTATTTTTCAAAAATGAGTTTTCATGTGTTTTATTTATTTCTAAATTACGTCGCGAATGGTAATTTATGTTTTTATGTAAATATTTTTGAATGAGGCGTATTTTTCTCGTTATTTTTTTAATTTACGTTTTTTCTCATCATTATTTATTTATTTATTTATTTGTTTTTATATATAAAAAATGGGTTTTCATGTGTTTTATTTATTTCTAAATTACATCGCGAATGGTAATTTATGTTTTTATGTTTTTTTTTAAATATTTTTGAATGAGGCGTACTTCTCTCGTTATTTTTTTTAATTACGTTTTTGTCATTTTTTAATTTGTACACATTAATTTATTTTTATATTTCAAATATATAATTTCATGCATTTTATTTATTTGTAAATTACATGGCAAATGGTAATTTCTGTTTTTTTTTTCTTTTTGGATGAGGCGTATTTTTGTTGTTCTTTTTTTTTTTGAATTTACGTTTTTATAATTTTTTAAATATTTTTGAATGAGGCGTATTTTTTTTAAATAATTTATGTATTTTAAGGTTTTTTTTTTTTTGCAAATGGTTTTTTCATTTGTTTTTTATTTTATTGTTATTTAATTTTTTTTTTCATTTTCTGTGAAATGATAAAAAGTGAGGTTTTAATTTATTGTCCTGTGTATTTTAAATAATTTAATTTTAATTTAATTTTCAATATTTAATTTTTATTTTAATTTTATTTTAAATATTTAAATAATGTAAATAATTTAAAAAATTTAATAAGCACAAATTTAAAATAAATATTCAAAAAATTTAAATCGTAAAAATTTAAATAATTTAAATATTCAAAAAATTATTTGAACAAAAAAATTTAAATAATTTAAAATGTTAATATTTTAAATTTAAAAGCAACTCTACACTCAAATCGTAACCAAACACATAAAACAAAAGTCAATTATGAAATTATTTTTAAAACGCATAACCAAACGCATAACTCGAAACTCCATACGACTTTCACAACTCTACACCTAAATCGTAACCAAATACATAACAAAAATAAAAAAGAAAGCCCGCATAATCAAATTCTCAATAAATTTTTTGACCCTTTTT